CGTTTGCATTAGGTATGTTTCCTCTCTTTTGTTTTAGTGAAACATCACGCATCCGTTCTCACACGGTGTATAACTTTGACTCTGCTGATGACAGACAGCTCTGGGATGTTAGCGGTGCCCCTTATGAAACAATATTTAAGATGCCTCCATGTACCAGCAGCAGCTGACCCCAGCTGCAGGTACAAGAAGGAATGCTGGGACTCCCTAGCAAACACATCAATCTAAGGGGTCGCTGAAGTAGGAAGATGCCCCTGCAGCACTCAGAGTGATGGAAAGGTTTTCGGCCTCTGCTTGAGTGTAAGGTTGCAGGATGTGCTGGCAGGACTGGCATGTGCCTCCCGGTAGGCCAGGCCCATCCACGCAGGCTCAGGAACCAGGGAGGGGCTGGTGCTGGCCTCACTATAGGAGGGGACGGCCCCACTACCAGCTGCCCAGGAGGACCATCTTTGGATAAACACTTTCTGGAGTGTAATCAGCATTTTTCCAAAGACAGAGAGTTTACTGCCGCCTGCTGTGAAGATCGTTGACTTGGTAACTGGGATTCCAAGACGGAGGTCAAGTCAAGCGCTCTCAGTGGAGGCTGCTTTCTCGGCTGAGCTGGGGAACAAAGGCTGGCTCTGCGGCTTCACAGATTTTCACCTCCTTGGCAGGAAGTCTCCTCTGAAGCTCGTGCCCCCATCTCTGCCATCTCCTAGGCTGTTCCTCATCATCACCACTACCTACCCGCACGGTGAGCTCGCCCCCAGTCCCCCATCAGCCTCTGCAGGAGGTGACACACACAGACCCGTCCGTCTCCCCACGCCTCTGCTCCCAGGACCTCTGCCTCCTCCACTGAACCTCAGCCAGCCTCTCCCATGGTGGCGACTTCTCACTGTTTGACCACAACTTCCTACTTTTCCAGCCCTCTCAAGCTCCCACAAAACTAGAACTATTCTTTGACCACATTGCTACTTCCCGTCTCTGACCTCCTCCATTCTCTTCTCACTTCCCTTCACTCCCTCTGCCACTGGACCCACAGCTTAGCCTCTCCAGCCACTCTCTCATCCTGTCCTTCCGTGGCACCTGCCCTAAGCCTCCACCCTGAGTCCATGGAAAGCCTGCATCGCCTGTATCCACCCAGCTGGGTACCGCTGGAGGGAAACTGCCCTTACACACAGTGATGCCACCTCACACTGGTGGTCTGCAATCTCAAATGGGGTCTAAAGGGTTTTTTTAATTATTATACTGTAAGTTCTGGGGAAGATCGCACAGGACTGTTACATAGGTACACACACGCCATGGTGGTTTGCTGCCTCCATCCCCCCGTCACCTACATTAGGTATTTCTCCTAATGTTAGCCCTCCCCAATCCCCCAACCCCCTGCTATTCCTCCCCTAGCCCCCCAGCCCCCAACAGGCCCCAGTGTGTGATGTTCCCCTCCACGTGGTCTCATTGTTCAACACCCGCTTATGAGGGACAGCATGCGACGTCTGGTTTTCTGTTCTTGTGTCTGTCTTCGGTTACACTCCTTCCTGTGAATTCAACCCAGGGCCACCCCAAACTTTGGTCTCACATACACGAACAAACCTCTTCCCACCCATGGCACACGGCCCCATTTTCTACCTAATCAAGACAACGGAAGCCATGAGAATTAACCCCTCCACTTCGGACGCGCCCACAGGCCTCGCACTTGGCCTCACCGGCAGCTCCTCCCGCCTCCCTTCTGCCTCAGAGCATGCGTGCTCCCTGCGGTGTGCTGGGGGCTCTTCCTCGTCCTCTGGACCCATCTCTCCCCAGCCTCACTCCTGGGCCTTCCAAATCTCTGGCTATCCCCATTCTTTCCCTCCTTACATGTATGCACTCATGATCTTCCCATCCTTAATAAGTACCCCTCCCAGAGCCCCTTGCTTTTTTATTTACATCCCAACTGCTCAAAGAATTGTTCCCATGTTACCTTCAAGTCCTCATCTCCCAATCAGTCCTCAGCCCACTGTGGTCTGGCTTCTGCCCCCCAGATCCCTGCGACTCTGTGTGGAGGAAGGAAACTTCGAACGCAGGCAGAACCACGTTCTGCATATCACAGCTCCCAGGGCGCCATGAATCCCACGTGTGAGAAAGAGCCGAGGCCTTGGGATGCAGTGAAGCGGGCCTTCATTTCTGGCACTGGAAGGCAGGCTCCTGGACTGCGTGTGCACGTGTGGGCGCGCACATGTGAGCGCTTGTGTGTGCGTGCCTGAGGTCACATGGCAGAGTAGCAGTTTCACATCTACTACTTTGTTGCATCTGAGGCCTGCTGTAATGGGCCTGGCTGTGCTAAAGTAGGAACCTCACCAAGTTGGCTGTAATTTAGGTCCTTTGTGACTATGGCCATACTTCCCAAACCAAAAATTGAGCCGGGAAAACTCATGATAGGCAGGACATGTGAATTGGGAAGCCCCTTTGCAAAAAGCTGGAAAAGCTGATTGCACACACACATCAAGGGACAGAAACCATGGCACAGGACCATGCCCAGATTCTGAGTCAACAAACTACGGTGGGTGCTGGCTCACGAGGCAGCCTCTGTCTCTTCCAGGCCCTCACACGAAGGGGGCTTCTCTTGCCTGATTGTAAGAAGAGGAAAAGCAGACAGGAGACACGCCAGGGTGTGCCATGCCAATTGGAAGCAGAGTCTCCACCCCTCCCCTGGACAGCGGCCACAGCCACCGCGCAGTGTGGGGATGAGGGTGGACTCCTGGACTCGGCCGTCTCCCCAGTGCCGAGCAGCTCAGATGAAGCCACAGGCCCTTTCACTGCGGGCCCAGCAGTTGAGCCTCTTGTGAGAATCAAGCGGCCTCGGTGGCGTTACAAACGGATCCCTATTAGTAAAGCATAGGCCAGAATCACACCCTATCTTCTTATTTGTCACAGGGGGAATGAAATGGTTCACAGAAGCCGGGGTTTGAACCTTGACTGTATAAAAACAGACTCACAGACAGACTCCTGAGATAGTCCCCCAGAGTGGAGAGTTTCTGTTTCCAAATGATCGGGCCTAATACAACGAGCCCTTTGTCCCCATGCACTGTTATTTCATCACTGACACTGATCTCCAATGTCAAGCAAATGCCAATCCTCATCCCTCTTCCTCTCTGTGTTCTGAGGCCCCAGGAATCATCACTTCCTGAGGTTAGCACGCTGTGGAATATTATCTCCAGGGGAATTCTGACACCGAGAAATCAAGAGTCATTGTTGCTTCATAAACGGAGGCTGTGTACAGGGAGAGCAAACTGGGCCAGGGAGATAAGTGCCCTTGTTTCCATCTGGGCAAGAAAGCACACCCTGCTATTAAAATGTATCCTGAGAAATGGGTGGATGTCGAAGCTGCAGTTCCGTCTGCACTGAGGGAACGCAATCCAGGCTTCTGTTATTGAAACTCATGTCTTGTTTTGATTAGGAACTCCAAGGTCACTGGTGACCAAAATGTTCTCCGTCTCCTCTCTACTGTTTCACCTGAAGCAGAAGTTGGAAGACGGAAGGAAAAGATCTTGGGGAGGAAAGTGTAAGGCATGATGAGCGTTTACGATGGACATGGAGACTCGGAATCCCTGGGAAGTCATGAGACGCATGTCCCTCTTGGACTGGTGGGAAAGTGTGCTGAGCTCACAATCGCAATGCACGAACTGTCACCAAAAATGACCACCATGAGGGGAAAAAACTAGGGTAGCTCGGGGGCCCAGGATTCAATATGCAAGGGGTTCCTCCAAAAGTAACTGAGGCCATCAGCCCAAACTGCGGACCATGGATACAGGGGGAAAGCCACCGTCACCCACAGCAAGTTTTCATGTTCATAAACGAGCAAGAATTGGGAAGGCCTGGAGGCGTGGCTGCTGGGGAGGAATGTCAAGGCAGGCCCTTCCTTAGGTAAGCGGGTCCAGATGTGAATTTTGCTAAGAATAAGAATGATGGAATGATTTGTGCCTTCCTGTCAACACTACCGAACTTCCCACCATATCTTAATCAAACAAACAAACAAACAAAAAAGAGAGTCTGGGGCTGGGCCTGCCTTATCCTTCGTGGATGTCACGTATGGAACCCCGTGGCACTTGTGATCCAGCAAACTTTCCGTGAGGTGGTCAGCACTCAGGAGGGCCCTGCGGACCCAGCTAAAGATGCTGTCCCATGGCCAGTTGGCAATACAGTTCTTAGGAGCTGGAAACCCAGTTTTCCATCCTGCATCCAAAATACAGCTGCCCTGGTTTCTCATCTCTCTTCTTATTTCCAAGATTAATCAAAGATTTAATCTCGACAGTTTTTTCTCAACTTGAACTCTAGGGCTTTTCAGCAAGAATGAATGCCTCTGTTTGCTTTATAAGCAATGAATATCAATTTTAATGGATTCCTTTTAAAAAGACATCAGGCTTTTAAAAAATACTTTTTAAAAAGCCCTCTGTCTTTTAAAAAGGAACACTTAAAACTGACATTTATTGCTTCTAAAGCAAACGGAGTTAATGACTTGTTACTTACCTGCTGATCTTCTATGCTAGGATGTGGTAGGGTCACTAATAGCCAGCTGCCACTGGGCCAAATACCGTCACAGAGTGAGGGACCAGAAAGATGGCCACACTGCAGGCAATGGCTTTTTCAATGACAAAAGATGTTACATTCTTGTATCTTTCACTAAGGTGACTGTTGGCTATTGGCTTCTTTTTTTTTTTTTTTTTTTTTGAGACTGAGTTTTGCTCTTGTTGCCCAGGCTGGAGTGCAACAGGGTGATCTCAGCTCACGGCAACCTCTGCCTCCCAGGTTTAAGCGATTCTTCTGCTTCAGCCTCCCGAGTAGCTGGGACTACAGGCATGCGCCACCATGTCCAGCTAATTTTGTATTTTTAGTAGAGATGGGGTTTCTCCATGTTGGTCAGGCTGGTCTCGAACTCCCAGCCTCAGGTCGCCTGCCCGCCTTCGCCTCCCAAAGTGCTAGGATTACACGTGTGAGCCACCGTGCCCGGCCTTGGCTCTTTAAGTCTAAGGAAAATAAAATAAACTTACCTTGAAAATTTACTGGGACCTTCACCATCTTCATCATCGAAGTCCATTCTGAAAAGTCAAGATCATCAAGTGAGTACTGATTATCAGGAGAACATGTTAACTGGTAACAGGAGCTGCTGGAACAAAAGGAGCTTTATTCACTAGGACTGCTATCCACTGGTCCCAACCTTTGGCAGTGGAACAAGCAATATCTCTACATGATCATCAAACAGGTTCAAGACAGGAAGAGGCAAAATGAAAGGTCTTCAGTATAAGCCCCATTAATTCTATGGCTGGGAATAGTCAAGTATCAACTTGTCTCCTCCAGAACTCCACATGCCGTTCCCTTCTTAGAACTCTTAGCAGCCAATGGATTGCTCTGGCTATGATGGAAAGGTTTATCTTCCTCGTCTCTTACCATCTTTGGAAATACCTGCTCCCTTCCACATCATCTATTCCATATTGAGACTTGTTTCTTAATTTATCGTATGGTATATTAACAGACTAAAAAGGCTCGGGGGATTGTGAAAACAAGTTTTCAGGGTGCAGGGATCACAAGGAAGAGAGAACATATTGCTGGTTGTACTGCTTGAAAATGTGGCTGTTCTTGATGAGTCAAAGTGAAAAGGGCATTTAAGGCCATTGCCCTATTAAATCCAGGAGCAAACATGGTTGTTGAGGGGGAAATGGCTGTTTGGGGCCCAAGTTACTCAAATCGGCTGTGCTGGTGGAAACTCGCCAAGTAACTATTCAGAGTCACCCTTTACTGGGTCTCTCAGTGTAAACACAAAACAAAAAGTCTTGATAGATACTTGCTGAACTAATCTCTCAAACTCTTCTCAAAAAATCTTGCCTCTCTAATGGTAATTCACGTGATTCCTGAACATGTTAGGGCAGAGGGGGTATTTCATTGGTTCAAGTGTACCCACAGTCCTTGGGGACCAAAATGAAAAATGACACAGATGTCTGAGCTCTCCTGCACATCTCGGGTGAGTGGAGCTCCTTGGAGACAATGTTTCAGAGCCCCTGCGTTTTCTGTCTTGTTCTCTGTAGTCCTGGGGGACTGAATGAGGCACAGCTCCCATGGAATCCAAGCAGAAGGGAGGCCAGCCTGCCTGGCAGCCTGGACCGAGAAATTCCTTGCCTGAACAGCTCAGTATCAGAATGGAGTGTGTATTAAATCACTACTGCGACAGATTCTAGAGCTGCTGGCCTCCCAGAAAGGGTGACCCCCACCCCCAGACTCTAAGGGCAGGGCTTCAGTGGCTAAATGAGTGGCTTGAAGAAGGCACAGGACACCCAGGTTACCGGGAAACGGCCAGGTCACACAGGGCGAGCCATCATTGCACGGGCACACCCAAGAAGCCCCCAACAAGACAAATCATAGTCTCTAGGGGCTTTGGGGAAACTTGAGGGACCTAGGGACTGCAATCCCATAAAGCAGAAAAGTATTTTCTTCTTAAAATAAGTACCTTTTGCTTTTGTTTTATGTGCAGCGTAGCCAAAGTTCTGATCTGGGTCTTATTTTGTTTGGAATGACCTGAGAGAATCCCTGCTAATTTGGAATCTCTGGTTCTCAGACACAAGGGCTATGCTGAGAGTCCAAGAACAGAAGGAGTCACGTAATTGAAAAAGAGGACAGGATGACAACAGAAATGCCTATGCACAAAGAGGAGAGGAACTGCGGAAGAAGAACAGTACGAAAGAAAAAGGACAGCTAAAGGGCCATACAGACACCTCTAAGAGACAGACACACACCTCTGCAAGGTCGTTTGGAAAGCCAGACATCACAGCAGCTTTACAGCTGCTGATGTTGTGGACAAGTAGGAGCTGAATGCAAGACTTTCTAAATGAATCAAGGCTATCGATATTCTGCATCACCACTAAACAGTCACCCCACCTTTCCCGGAAAGTAACACAGGGAAGGTAAACGAGCAAAAATGCTGTAACCAAATCCACCCGGGGTTCTGCAGAGCCGCGGAACCACACTGCCACCTAGTGTTCACTATGGGGAAGAGCGAGTTTGCTGTCCACAGGCAGGTTATTTAACACCCCAAGCGTGCTGTCAAAAACATTTCAGGGCTAAGAAAAAAAAAAAAAAAAACAGCAGTTGCAACATTCCAAAGAACACAAGCAAGCATTTAACAAAACCACAAGTGAGTGTGAGACATACAGTTATCTTTAAAATTTCTTTTAGCTCAAGTTGGTATGAGTGTGATCGTCAGTACGCCTGCAAAATACAAGTTGTAAGCCAGCCCTCCGTCCTCAGCCTGTGTGATCTTAGGGGTGTTAGGGTGATCAAGCATCCTGATTTTGTCTGGATAGGTAAGGAGATACCTGGGATCCAGGACTTCAGTGCTAAAAGCAGAAGAGTCCTGGGCAAACCACAATTGTTGGTCACCCTCGTTTTCACAAAGATAGCTCTGTTCTTTACCCAGCCCTTTGCGGGAGCAGACAGATGAGGAAGTGAGCCCCATGGTACACAATCCCCCGTTGGCCAGGTTAGCTGTGGCTCAATCAAGCAGAGGGGATGAGAAAGGGGACAGCCTTGCTCCAGACCCAGAGCCTTCTGAAGGCCTCGGGGAATCCAGGAACCAGCATTTGTCCGGGAATATTAGGGACCAAGATCCTGTACCTCCCACGTGTGCATGTCTGCCCTCACTCTCTACCCTCTGTCCCTACCCAAGCTTTGGGACCGGCACAAACCCTAACTAGTCAGCTCTAGAAAGTCGGGGGCGAACCAGGAGATAAATCTAGGGCCATCAGCTCTAGAAAGTCAGGGGCAAGCCAGGAGATAAATCAGGACACTAATGATTGTTCAAGTGCTCGAGATGACTCAATCCACCTGAAAACAGTCTCACTGGCTCATCAGCAATGTGGGAAACAGTGCAACCCTGGAGGACACAAAGAGCCTTTCAGAGCCACACCTGCAAAGATGCTGTTGCTTGGGCCCCCTATCGCCATCTCAGAATCTCTACTTTAAATAGGACTACCATCAGCTATGCCTATTTCTTGCTATAAGTCTAAATAAATCATCCTTTATTTTATATCTTTAATGTGTCTCTATCATACAGTAGCATCTGGATATTAAAGGAGAGTAATCAAAATAAGACTTTTAAGTCCTATTGTATTCACTTTAATTCAGCACAGTGAACGGATAGCAGAAGAGTCTTCAAAAAGTGGGCTGAAAATGCACTTAACTGTGCTTTTCTGTCAATGAGCCTGAATGCCTGCCTTGAGAAGGAGCCATGATAGGCGTTTCTGAACCTGCAATTAGGAGTAAGTGACGCGAAGCTCCCTCACCATGACTGTGTAATAATAATAACGCTTCATCAAACACGAGCCACTAAAAAGAAGTCACTTGGGCTCCAGTGAGATAAACGGGCTGGTCCCACAGTGACAGCAAAGGAATGACCCTGGCCCAACCCGAAGCTTCCGCAACAGGTGAAGTGTCAAGGGCTGCCGGAAAATGCTCCTCTGTCAGAGCCTGGACTGACCACCCAGACTGCAGCAATGCTAGAACATATAGAGCTCACCAAGAGAAACAGCTGCTTACGGAAATCCGCCTGTAATGTGACCATATCCCAGCGGCTTCTGGGGTTACCTTAGAGGGAGGTGCCGGTCTATCGGCTATAAGTAACTTGAAAGTAGTTTTTCCTCAGTGATGCTATTTTAGAAGCCCAGCATTGGACTCCAAGTAAAAAGGGACGGACACATCCCTGCCCTCACTCTCTACCCTCTGTCCCTATCCAAGGCTAGCTTTGGGACAGACACAAACCTTAACTAGTCACCGCTGCTTCCTCCTAACTGAATTTGCCCCAAGGAAGCCCCCTACCCCTCACCACCCTGTTGCTGAGATCAGGGAGGTTTCTACAAACTGCCATTCCAGGTGACACTCCAGCTCATGTCTCCCACGTATGTGGAATCACTTTTGAAAGAATCTGGGGACCGAGTGTGGTGGCTCATGCCCATAATCCCAGCACTTTGGGAGATCGAGACGGGTGGGTCACGAGGTCAGGAATTCAAGACCAGCCTGGCCAAGAGAGTGAAAGCCCGGCTCTACTCAAAATACAAAAATTCGCCGGGCATGATGGTGGCTGCCTGTAATCCCAGCTACTCGGAAGGCTGAGGCAGAGAACTGCTTGAACCCAGGAAGTGGAGGTGGCAGTGAGCCGAGATCCCACCACTGTACTCCAGCCTGGGTGACAGAGCGAGACTGTCTCAAAAAAACATAAAAAGAATCTGGGACTTCGGAACCTTCACCATGAGTCCCAGCTGCTGGGAGAGCAGGTAGCTTGCCAAGACGCTTACTGATAAAGGCTGCTGGGGAAGTGGGGAGGAAGTTAAACCATGAAAAGCCACAGTGCTGGGCCATGCGGGAGGCCTGGAGGATCCCAACTGCGAGATACCGGTTCTCTCTGAGCCTCTCTCTGAGTCTCTCCACCATGTCCCACGTTCTCAGAGGGAAGGGGGAGGTGGAAGAACAGCACGCCATCAGTAGGGAGGGCGGGGGAAATGCGTGCCCTGGCACGGGCGCACGGGCTTTGCCATGGGGTCACCTGCGTTTCCATGAGTGTGAGTGATTTCCATCAGGGTCTCCTTTGCACTTAGCTAAGTGTTCGGGCTGTGGTTGAAGGAGTTGTTACCACGAGCTTCTAGAACAGCAGTGGCCTCAATCACAGAATTTCAGCAAAACATGTAAAACATCAGATGCAAGAATTACTATGGAAACGGCCCTGTAAAAACGGAGGTGTCTTTGCTTAGACACAGGATACGTCCCTAAGCCACTGAGGCTTGGCAAGTGGGACCACAGTTTGTTGGCTCTCTCCCTCCGGCAGGGAAAAGGAATAGGGACATGGACCCCAAGAGGCGGGATGGTGGAGGACCAGCACCCTAGAGGTCAGGGTCACTGGCTTGCCTTCCACAGTCATGCCTTCGCTCCCGACGGGCTGTCGGCAATTGCTGCTCCCCCTCCTTCCTCACTCATTTCTTTTCTTGATGTTTCGTTCCCTTGGCTTTAAGTGGAACTCAATGCTAGGCTATCTCTCTACCTGCTCAGGATCCACACCTGCCTCCAGTGCGATGCTATGTGTGTGTGACCCAGGAAGGGACACACAGTGGTGGAGGGCTTCTTCAGAAATGGGACTGAAGCTGGATGCAGTGGCTCACGCCTGTAATCCCAACACTTGGGGAGGCCAAGGCACGAGGATTGCTTAAGACCAACAGTTCAAAACCAGCCTGGGCAACAGAGTGAGACCCTGTCTCTAAAAATACGATACAATAAAATACAATAAATAAAATAAAAGGACTGGGTCCCCAGTCTAATCATAAGCTCAGGGAGCAACCACAGATCTGTGTCTGGACACCAGGCTGGGTCAGAAACATGGAGGCCAGGGAGGGAAAGAGCCCCAAGTCACTGCAGCCCCTGTCCTGTGGGAGGGAAGAGGAAACGCCTGGCAGCGGCTCAGAGGTGACTTCCTGGCACAGAGATGGCTCCTGGACCTGTAAGTACTAGGCTGGGCCTGAGCATCTCTGCCTGGACTTGACCCTGGCTCAGCCCGCCTCCCTCATCACAGAGTCCTGTGCCGGCCTCTTCCCCAGAAAAGGACTTGGGCAAGCCATGGGGCTCTGTCCTCAGGAAATGCAAGTTAGAGTGGGTATAGACATTTTAAATAATTTTTAAAGTCCCGGAACCATCAAAAATCAATGAAGTTGATATGTTGACACCTCTTGTCTGCTTTTAGCAACTGCTGAGCTTAGCACCTAGTGAGGAAGAATGGCTGGTTGAAATGGGATGGCTGTGTTTGCAGGAAGCCCCAGAGGCAAGCCACATCATTTATTACAGAGTTGATCTAAGGAGCTTTGCCCCAGGCACCAACACTGCTCATTAGCGCTCTGCTGGTCCCGCTGTAAAGACGTGGCAGCTGCATGGAGAACTGGCTGCATCAGCACCCAGCGCGTGCCAGTGAGCGCGCTGAACACAGGGAAAGCTGGCGTCACCACTGAGCTCGGTGGCTGGGCTTTTTAACCCTCTCCCTAATCATAAAAATCTCAAGCCCTCCTTTGGAGACTACACGGCACACACAACAGTGTTTGTACAACCTAAAATGACAAGGCCAAATATGCTTTGGCATTCCATCCGCGCTCCATCCCAGACCCTCATGTTTCCTACCGCTCCCTTCCACCTCCGCTCCCTTTAAGAATCATACTGGACCGCCTAAAAACGGGCCCACCGCGCAGGCCTTAGGCTGTGAGAAGTGGGTTCTGCTGTAACTGGACAGCTGCATTCCCAAGAAGCTGTGTGTTCGCAGAAATTGCTTTAAAAGTACAAATTGGGCCGGGCGTGGCGGCTCACGCCTGTAATCCCAGCACTTTGGGAGGCCAAGGGGGGTGGATCACGAGGTCAAGAGATCGAGACCATCCTGGTCAACATGGTGAAACCCCGTCTCTACTAAAAATACAAAAAATTAGCTGGGCATGGTGGCGCATGCCTGTAATCCCAGCTACTCAGGAGGCTGAGGCAGGAGAATTGCCTGAACCAGGAGGCGGAGGTTGCACTCCAGCCTGGGTAACAAGAGCGAAACTCCGTCTCAAAAAAAAAAAAAAAAAAAAAAAAGAAGTACAAATTGATTCACCTTCATGAGAAACCTTGTTTATCAAACCTTGTTGTCATAAAAAATCAAATCGATTCAACAGGGGAAAGGGGCTAGGTGGTACATGGAGACTGAAATGAGCCTTGTGCTTTTCCTGCATGATTCTGGTTGGTTAGATCGTTGGCTGGCTGGTTGGCTTGTTGGTTTTTTAGGTCTTGGTACAGCCACAAATACTATGCATCATGAATAGCTGCAGTTTGGGTTCCATCTGCTCAAGAGTGGTGATATTTCTGGCCCTATCAGAACAAGACACTTAGAACAATAGCACTTAGTATTATTACCACCTTCACTAGCAAAGCAGCATGCAATGCCAACTGTCTGGTCTTCAGCTGCGGAGCTTTAACCAATTCTTTTGAAAGGAATTCCTGCACACCATCTTTGGAGGAGGGAAGGATGGGCGGCCTGAGAGTGGAAACTTTGCAGCCCCCAGGGGCTGGAGCCCAGCTCAGCAGTGCTTCCAAACTGCCTTGGAGGCAGGATAACGGGGGAGCCCCTCCCTTCAGAGGGCCTGAGCCAGGCCCAGCAGGATCACAGAGCACATTCTCGCCACCAGGACAAGCAAACAGAAGTCCCCAGCTGTGTGCTGAGGCCCAGAACACTTAGAAGCAAATTATGTGCATATTTAGGAATCTTGCAAAAGCTAAACAGGATGCATACTGCTGAGCTTTTATTCTACAGGAGGGGGAGAAACAATATTTTCCTAACAGGTCAAGAGCATTGCTCAACATTTCTTAAGCCGATTCCTGGAAACGCTGAGGTCGCTTACCCGGAACGTCGCTTTCCTCCACGGGCAGGCACGGCCCCCGCCATCCTCACCTGTCCGGTGGCCGCCATGGGGGCAACGGGCAACGTCACCGATCCAGGTATGTCTGAAGCCATTTCTGGAATTCAGCAAAGACGAGAGGTTTTGTCAATGCCAGAAAAGTGCAGCACCAGGCAAGAAAGCTGTCATGCGGTACACCAGAAGGCGCACCTGCGTGGAGAGCCCGGGGACCTGCCACCACTTGGCCAGCATCAGCCATGCAGCTGGGCAAGGCTGTCCTCTTTCTCTGGAAAAGGGTATCTCTGGCAGAACTCTCAGATTTATTGATTGGAAGGGTGGTTAAAAAGAATGAGCACAGCTTAGCAGCTTTCATAAGGGATTCCTGTCTCCTGGCCACCTGGAGGCAGGTAAGATGTCCAGGAATCCAGGCAGCACAGCCAAACCCTGAGGGAAAGAATCAACTTCGGGTAACCCAGACGGGGCACACTGCCCGAGAGGCAATGCCCTGTGGCAGCGCCCGCCGGTGCCCCTTCGTTGCCCTGCATTCATGTTCAAGCAGAAAGGCTGGTTGTCACGCCTACTCTGGACTCAGAAGCCCTGAGGATCTGAGCCCTGATTGGCCCCTCTCTTCTTGATCTAGGGTGTTAAAAGCATCACTTCGGGGTATAGCAGGCCAGGCTAGGGCTTCCTGGATCTCTGGCACTGGACCATTCCGGAATAAATATTAATTTAAAGAATAAGAAGGTCTGGCCCTAAATGAGAGTACCTTTTCTGCACACCGTGGCCAAGACAGTATTTCTCATAAGCCAGACACTTTTGGACGCTCATTAAGGTCATGTTAGGCATCCCTGATTTCAAAGAAACCACCCTAAGAAGTCTCTCCTTCCTACTTAACGGAGAGCTCCTAAGCTCAGGCACCCTTTCCTCAGACCATTCCATGACACGACAAATATTTCAAGAGGTCTCTGTGATTCTGTTTCCTGTGCTTGAGATGGACTTCCAGAGTGTTAGCTTTTCTTAGCTCAACTTTCACCCAGGGAAAGAAGAGAAGCAGCAATCTACAAAAACATATTAAGAAGACGGATCAGGATACATAAGGAATCTGGGCCCTTCTTAGTGGACAGAGATGCCAGGGGGTGCTGCCAGGGCACACTTGGTATAGGTGACTGCTCTGTTTCCTTTCAGCAGAAACCAGGGATCCCTGTGACAGCTGACCCACAGTTACACCCCAAAATACTGTATGTTTAATAAACACATTTGAAGCTCGACTTGAACTATCCCACTCAAAGCTCTTAAAGAAGAATTTCACAATACACCATACGATTTCACAATAAACAAAATCTAACTTAGTCACTCTGCTACGTCCACAAAACTTTGGGAATGATTACACTTGTTTTGTTTTTTTTAAACCAAGGTACATATTGAAAAGTCCTCAAGGGGAAAAAAAGAATCATCCTCTTAAAGGAATTCTTTCCCCTTTAGATAACTGAGTTTAAGACAGCTAGATGGTATTAAAAGCAATAACCCAACAACCTTATCATCTGCCTGCTTTGATAAAATATTTATATTTTTCTGAAATGGAGGCTAAACACAATGAGTCAATTACGTCCCCAAACTGAAGGGCAGAATCACTGTTAGAGCAAACACCGATGACAATGAAAGTCACTGCTTCCTAAAATAAGTTCCACAGAACAGCAGCCCCTTAAGATTCTCTAAGAAAAAGAGTTCCGTGGTCCAGTAAGTTAAGAAAAAAGCTGTGCACTTATCCCCTTTCTTAAAGATGCCAGCGTCCATTAAAATCATATTGAGAAGTCTTACCTACATAAAGAAGTTTGCTTAACTTTGGTTATCCCAGCATATCATACATGTCTCTAATTGTGGAAACTGTAAAAATGTTTCACCTGCTCAGCTAATGTTCTAAGGAGCACAAGTTTGGGTATTTTAAAGCCATTACCTCATTCCTGCCTTCGAGTTGAAGAAATTTCAGGCTGGATGAGACCTTATCCATTGTTGGTAATCCTAGAAAGGTTGTCATCCCTGCCTTTTCCAATCACCTGAATTTAATCTGGGGAAAATAAAAATGCCCAGAGTTTTTGCAATGTAAGTTGCAAAGAGTGAAGCTTCCCCAAACCTTGGCTGGTGGGGAATACTGAAAAACCCAGTCCTTTCCTCCGACAGATGGGTGGAGCGAGGCAAGGACAGATCAGGTGAACTGCGTGGGTCCCCACAAGTGACTTTTCTTTTTCTTGTCTTATTTCATGTCTAGTTTCTTTTGTTCATGTCCCATTTCACTGGCCAGAACTTTCAGAGCAATACTGAGTAAAAATGGCCTATCATGGAGTAAAAGAAAGTCACGACTTTGCAATCAAATACACCTGGTTTCAACTCATAACTTGGACACTTCCCAGCTATGAGTGACAGGGCCATGCTAGGTCAAAGTGTCAGCTGTGAAATGTTCCTAATATGTACCTCGAAGGGGCATTTTAAAAATTAAGGGCCTTGTGTGGTAGCTCACACCTGTAATCCCAGCAGTTTGGGAAGCCAAGGCGGGCGGATCACCTGAGGTCGGGAGTTTGAGACCAGCCTGACCAACACGGAGAAACCCTATCTCTACTAAAAATACAAAATTAGCTAGGCATTGTGGCTCATGTCTGTAATCCCAGCTACTCCGGAGGCTGAGGCAGGAGAATCACTTGAACCAGGAGGCAGAGGTTACAGCGAGCCAAGATTGTGCCACTGCACTCCAGCTTGGACAACAGAGCGAAACTCTATCTAAAAAAAAATTTTTTTTAATAAAAATTAAAATTAAGAACAAGGTATGTAATGAGCCTAACACAGTGCTTGGGGAAAAATCACTCAAGCAACAAGAATTAAAATGACCGTGATTTTGCTGATGGTAAGCAATCTTGCTTGCGCCTTGCATTTAACTGGAATGAGCTGCTGGTTTAAGACATTCTTTCTGTTGTCAAGGAATCTGCTCCTATGCCTACTTTAAAAAGTTTATTTAAGGAATGGATGCCTCATCTTATCAAATGCTATTTTTGGTAACTAAGTGTTCTGGATACTAAGTAAGCCAAACAGAAAATGCAATCGATGAGACTAAAATTGACTTTAAAGGTAAAATGTTTGTCTAATGTTGATTTTTAGGAGCTGCCCTTAATAAATTCAAAAAAAAGTTAAAAAAAAAAAAAACACACAAGTCTCTCCTCTGTAATCTAGGTCCATATCTATAATGTGATCAGTTGTCAGCCTTCCCTGGAAAAGTGACTGCCCGCTTCCCAAATCTGGCATCTTTTCTCTGTTACGTTAAGTCCAAGCAAGCAAAGCTCTTGGGCTGTCCACCCAGAGAAGGTGGCTTAGGAAGGTCCCTGGCCAGGCTGGAGGTGAGAGTCCCAAAGACAGGGCCTGGTATCAACAGAGCAAAGAAAGCTAAACCTTAGATGAAGAGCAGCCCTGTCAGCCAGTTGCTGATCTGCTCCTGGGTTTCTGAATTTCACTCCAAGCAAAGGGCACTGACCACTGCGTCTAGGGAGAAAATCACACTCTGGATACCTCCGGGTGACTGTGCAACCACCGCCACACCCTGCGGTCGGGGGTGGACGTGAGTAGAGCCTTTCCAGAGGAGAGCTCAGCAGTCTTTGTCAACAGACTTAGAATATCCACGTACATGTAAACCCCCAACAAACACATTCCCCGCTGCCCAGGACCTGACACAGACATAGCTTCTCCCTCACTGTGATGGGAGATGAGAGGGAGGGTGTGTGTGTGTGTGTGTGTGTGTGTGTGTGTTATATGCATGGAAAAAAGACTAAAAGACACATAGAAATACACTAATATGTTAAACTTGGCTATGTCTGTTGTGAAAATTATAGGTAGGTTTTATTTTCTCCTAAGAGCTCTTCTTATTTCTTTAAATATTCTAGATTTTTCCCTCAATGCATGTGTTAATTGAATGCCAATTTAATGATATGCCAGTTGATTGATCACAAATAGAAAAAGATTTTTAAAGGATTTCACATGGAAGACACAGGAGAAAGTATATATAACGGGTGGGAACTAGAAGCAATGAATGGATGAGACAGACCGGAAGATGAAGCCCTTTTTAAATAATAAGTGTCCAATAATAGGACGGATTGGCTTAAGAACAATGATACAATTTTACCTAAACTAAGACTTACGTTGGGTGCTAACTCTGCTCCTCCCAGCACTCTGCCATCTTGATTGCATAAGCTTTATTTACATCCACGCTATGAGGTACATACAAATTCATCCTATTTTACAGATGAGGAAACTGAGCAGCAACCGGTCAGCCCTGTACCCTGTCACTTGGCTAGCAAAGGGCAGAGCAGGCTCACACGTGTTCGGCCACCCACTGTGTGGTCCCTGTCCCTCGTGATGCCCAGGCGGAGGCCAGCTGGCTGGGCAGATCCTTCCCAGGGGCAGCAAGAGATGTGCCCAGGCCACGTTTCTCAATCACAGGCCCATATGAAAGTTGCATGGCATGCAGGACAGGCTCATGCTTTGGGGTCACTCCGTCTAGCCATGGGTCCATGGGGAAGCTACTGAACCTCTCTGAGCTTCAGACTCCTCCTCTAGAAGATCAAGAAAATACGTCACACGGTTATTGTGAGTATTAAGGGGAGCCAATTATTTATGATGTCTAGCAGAAGAAATATTCCTTATCCTCTGTTACTTTCTCTAGAACAGAACGTCTTTCCGAGCAGACACTGTATGTGTATGTATGTGTGATCTTTACACAACCCTTGCACAAATTACTTAGCCTCTCTTTGCCTTGGTTTTCTATCTGCGAAATGGGGACAGCAACGCACCTCCTGGAGTGATGAGGATTAAAGAAGTTGATCGTTGTAAAGCACTTAGAATGATGCCTGGCACAGCAGCAGCACATGCGAGTGTTCAACAAAAACACACAAACGCATAGATGCGAACACGACTCAATCATTTTGCTACGGTAAGGAGCCGAGTCACCTCTATAATGTTGTTTTTCTGGTTCTAACTCATAGGAGTGCGAGAGAGGCAAGGGCAGGGCGGGCAGAAGGCCTTCTGGACTACTCAGCACCCCACTCATAACACGTTCCCCGCGTGAGGTTGTGGCCAGAG